GGGTCCTGCTGAGCAACGGAGATGCTGCTCGGGCTAAGGAAGGTGGATATGTACCCGTGGGGCTCTCCTGCTCCGGGATTTCTTGTGTTTGAACCAAAGTCTGGCTCGAGGGACTTAACCAGGGCGGCTGCTTGGTTCAGGGTGGTGTCACAGCTCTGCGGCTCTACCATAAATCCCACTATCAAGCTCCAGCGGGCAAAGGGTCTTCTTTTCCATGAGCCGAGGCCGATGTAATAACTCGACACTTGTCCTCTCCCCATCATGGCTGGACTCAGGCGAATTCCTTCCTGACCCTAAGCTGGCGACAGGTGGCAACCCCGCACAGGCCAGCAAGACCTAAGGACAGATCGTAGGAAACACAAAGGAGTAGCTGCAAAACTCTGCGTTGGCTGGCTCCTAGATCCAGGCCATCAGGAAGACCGATGAGGAGAGCTGCAGTGGCTCTTCCAGGGCTCACACAAGTTGAGGCGTAGCAAAAAGTATTTGTTGAGGTACATCAAGTGTTTTGTAGCAGCTCAGGTACTGACAAACCTAGGGATCAAGGCTCCTTGAGAGAGACAGTCAGGAAAGGACAGAGAGACAATGATGTAATTTGCCCCAAAGCCGGGAAGTTGCCAAACTCCTGGTCAGGTGTATAAGTGGAAGCACAAGTGGCTACAACCCTATGAAGTCAAGCCAGCGATGGCAATCTTAAGCAGCTGAGAGCCTGGGCCAGCCACTTCTTTTTCTTTTCTCTCTCTAAAGTCTGCTTATGAGACTTGCTTTTGAATATTTATGTTTGGACTGCTTATATGAAAGAAATCACAGCTGCAGCTGCTCCTGATGAAGTGACAAACAGTCTGTGCTGCTGTCTCCTAGAGACCTTAAGTTCCCACTCTAAAAGAAAGACTTTTTTTTTTTTTTTTTAAAAAAAATAAGGCTTGATTTGCCATGCTGATTCGAAATGGGTATAATTTCAAAGAGCAGTGGGATTTATTACTGGTTTAAAGACCAGTGTAAGAAACCAGATGATTGGAACCACAAGGAACAAAGGCAGGATGATGGAGAAAGGGCTTTTGCCTGTTGCGGTGACGGCCGCTGCGGGAGGACCCAGAAGCGGCTGCTGTGAAAAGATCAGCTCTGCACGGGTAAGACCTCAGTCTTTGCGTCGCAATTGAAAAGAACAGAAACACCACATTTGGGTGAGTTACGACTGAGGGTCGCCACTTCCCATTTGGCTGCCAGAGCTGGAAGCATCAGGAACATGCCTTTCACACGACAACTGAGGCCTGCGCTTGTGTTCCTCAGTAATTTCAAGTAACAAGACACCATCTTCATTAGTGAGCACATGAGAAAAATCTAAAGCTGGTGGCTGAAAGACATCACATAGCTTCCCCCCCCCCCAGCGTATAAAACGCTGCACACAATTCATAAGGACAGAAAATCACGTGCACGCGTTTTAGTTGAGAATTAGGTAATCACGCAATTAGAAACGATATGGGCTGTATGCAGGTGGGGCGGCTGAAGTTAAGGATGCGCGTACAGAAAGTTTTCACAGATTCTGATTTTTAATACTATATTGCTCTTAAATCAATATACAATTTATAATTGGCTAGACAGAAATAACAAAGTCTACGTTTCAGAAACGAAACAAGTCCCCAAGCAGGAGTAGCCCTGTCCTCCTGGAGCGTTTTGAAACTTCTTTTATGAGGAAAACCCCCTTTCCTACCGGACAGAAACACATCAATGTTTCATCTCAATGTTTCTTTCGAGAAGAAAGCTATTTCAACACTGCCGCTTTTGTACTATCAACATGACACCATGAAAGCCCTAAATGAAATGCATTTCTGTTGCTGCTTATTTGGGAAATGCACTTCATCCGGAAAAGCCAACATGCACAGTGCATCCACTGACTGCAACAGCAGAAGCAAAAAATAACTCTCCATAAATAGGTGCTTGAATCAGAAGAGCAGAGATTTTCCTCAGGTGACAGTATTACCATATTCTAAGAAAATTTTCTAGATCAAACATCATGGTAGCTCAATATTTTGTCCTGAAGATAACTTACTGATTTCTTTCAATGTTTCTTGAAATGTCTTTATTGCTTTTAATTGTTCCTTGGTAACGGCAGACTCAACAGGTTTTTTAAATTTTTTTGTTACTAACATGCAATATTCCTTAAAATTCCTCTTAAACATCCAATTTATCATATGCCTACCACAAAAGCCTTCTTTTTATTGACTTCACTATGAATTCCACAGCTATTAGACGTTTCGGAGGAGGGGACTCGACTCTTGATCAGAAATTTTTAACATCAGTATTAATGAAGGATGTCTATGCCAGCACAAAACAAAGGCAAGCGCTTTAAAATCTAGGCTGATAGGCTTTTCACATCCAGGAAAACCTCCCTGGCATTTTTTTTAGAAAACGGAGTTTCCCAATGTGCCTGGAGTCGACACGCTGCGACGCAGGCTGGCAGCGCAGAATAGCAATAGAATCCATTAAATCTGCGTCGGGGAGCCGGTTAGCAGAAACGTTACATAGTAATTATGGTGAGGATTTTCTGTGAAATAAATTCTGGTTTTTCAAATGAGATTCTGAAAAAATCACCCACTAACATTTCTGCAGAAATGCTTTACAGCTTGTCCAAATTGTAGAGGACAGCTCATCTTTTCCCACAAAAGCTTACAGAGCTTGTAATTTACTGAGTTACTGGTTGTCCTAATGACTGTTGAAGGGAATGGTTTGGCATCGGTAAGAGGAGATTAGTTTGTGTATTAATGCAATTCAGAATTTCACTCAATTTACACAAAGTAATGAAAAGCTTCATTTGAACTCTCAACAATTCCGCCTTCCCCCTATCTCAAGTTCCTAACACGGATTTCATCAAGTCTTCAAGAGGCTGCTTTGGAGCAGGGAAAAAAAAAGATTAAGCAGATGAGAGGAAACACGTTCCCAATTCACGCCAAGGCTTCGCTGATTAGAACCGCGCGTCCCAGGTAGGGAGGTGTAACGCACCGCCGCCCGCCCGCGCTCCCGTTACAACAGGTCTCCTCTTGAGCGACGCCGTGGAGCCTCCGCTCAAATGCATCCTCGGAGAGGACGGGAGACCGCCGCGGGGCCGGAGGGGCAGCGAGCAAACAGCAGGGATACAGCTGGATGGCAAGGTCTGGCCATCGGCGACATCTGGGGACTGGTCCTCAGTTTGGAGGAGATGGAGGGACCAAGGAACAAAAAAATGAAAATGAAGTGCGTAACAACTACATTTTAATACAAGCAGCCCTCCTCGCTGCTACAGACTTGCTGGAATGAGTGAGGACAGCACGACGTGCTCGTGAGATCAGCTCTTTCAGCATAAGGCAACACCCGATAATAAATCGATTTCTCGAGGCAGTAGGGTTTCCAAAAAGCGGGCACAAGGATCATTTTTTGTCAACCATGAAGATTTAGCTAGTCACATGATGGTCACCCCGTCACTGCTTTAGTTGCCTAAAAAAACCCCAAATGCTCCTAATGCTGCCTTCCCAATTAATCCATCTACATTTGCTGCATTGCTAGAGAGATGTTATTTAACCCCCAGCTGCAGAGGAGCTGCCCAAAAAGGGGAAGGAGACACCTCAGAAGGCAGAGACCTAGCGAGGCCTTGCTTGCTGAGGCAAAAAAGCACGAGGTGTTAAGAGAAGTCCGTTTTAGGGGAGGAAAAATAAACTGCCCTTGTTTAAACTCTTCTCTTGCCTCAAAACAAAAAGGCTCAGAAACTCAAAACTGATTAAAGAAAAACCAAACACAAGACAAATCCAGTCCCTCTTCCACCTGAAGGTAGCAGATTTTATGGATGACAAAATAAATTGTTTATTTTAAAAAAAAAAAAAAAAAAGCAGCATCTAACTGTATCATATGTAAGCATTCATTTGCGACACTGAAAATTCTCCAAGACTTCTCAGCACGTGGAGGCCGTGCCTTGGGCTCACGCACACGTGCAGCAAAAGAAGCCCAAGTTTTTAGACGCTTGTTTCGGGGGCTTGTAGGGTCCCTGCTCCGTTAACACGAGCCAACCCAGACACCGTCTGTCACAGCAGCGTTTTTTCAAACTAGTGAACGCCACGGTATTTAATACGCAAAACGTGTCACATTTCCAAACAAGTTGCCAGCGTCTTATGCATAAAATTATTTTCATATATAGATACTTTCAGTAACTCCTCAAAAAGGATCCCAAACGTTAGAGAAAAAGGATGAAAGTACAAGTCTAATTTTAAGTAACGTAACTCTCCCTTCAGCCGCTCCACGCACACACAGAAGAGCTAAAGAACTCTAAGCATGGATGCAGATTTTTTTTAAATGTCAGATTTATTTCCTTTTTGATACCAAAGAGCTGTTCTGCAAATTAACTGACAAAATAAGCTTTATTTTGGTTTGATTTTCAAATTGTATTTGCTTAAAAAAAGATGGATTTTCTGATGATAAGCCCTACAAATTGAAACTTCAATTAGATTTTCTTTTCTTGTATACTACCATTTTATAATTATATCTACAAATCTTGCGGTTTTATTACTTCTGCTACCACTCTTCTATAGCTCTTCCTGCTATAGTACAGAAATCATACTGCATACATATAAACCCGTATTTATGTACAGACACAGAATCATAGAAATAAAAGCACTGGGCGGACATAACATCTGCCATTTAGTTTGTACTCCCCAGCAGGAACTCCAGTCAAGCAATCGCCTGCCCACCAGCCTGAAGGGGATTTTTCCATGGCCTTCAGGTCAGGCTCAGCAAGAATATCTTAAGCATGGGGCAGGAGAAAGGGGGAAACTGCCAACTCCATTGCAAGATCAAATCTATAACTCCTTAAAATAATACCTATTTTAAGAAATTATTTTTATGCTAACAAAAAAAAAAATCTCAATGTTTTAAAGTAGCAAATTTACATTATCTTTTTTATACCAGGACTTTCCTTTACCAGTTTAGTTTTAGGACAGATAATCCTCCCTAACAGAGTATATACAGACAAGGAAAAATAGTTAAACATCAGAATATTTATTTTGCATACAAATATTTACAGAAAAACACTTAAAAAATTAAGTATTCAAAGTTTGGCTTCACTTCAAAAAAGCTTCATGCTTTTATGTTATAAAAACATATTGCTTTTACTGTGCTCAAATTTAGTATTCAGATCTCTGGATTTTCTTATAAGAGCTTTCTTTTGCGCTTCGTCAAATCGATTGACTTTGAGATCCTGGTCTCGGTCAAATGGCCTTCTTTCTTGAGGTTTGTTCTTTTCTTCAGATGCTTTGCTCTTTAGCTTTTTCTGATGTATGTCCATGAGAGATTCTGACCTCTTTGACTCCTGAAAAAATGGGAAGAAGGAAGAGGAAATAAAGTGTTACAGAATATCAACAACATACAGAAAATCCAAATGGAAAGATTGGAACTAGGGAGCCTAAAGATTCCAGAAAAAGATGTCTTAGTAACTGGAAAACAGAATGATAAATTTAGCATACATAGAAGAGAAAGTGCATGTACTCTTGTCTACGCTGAATAAGATACTAATAATTTAAAGATACCCACAATGTTGCTGAATCCCCGCAGACAGTGGAGATAAATTATAAAAAGAATGCAAAAGAAATATAAAAGTTGCTCTGTCGTTATTAGCAGAGACAAACGAAGACAATGTGTCAAGAGAAATATCTCAAAGTACAGGCCCCGTTTCTTACACACTTCCCCATAGCACCTGGTTTTGGTCACTGCTGGGGCAGGAACAAGCTAGAGACCCTGTCGATCTTACTCTCATGCACTGTTGTGTTTTTAATGTGTGCTCTTAACTCTTCAGTATTTGAATCATCTGTTGCAAGCCCACAGGACAAAGTCACAGGTTGGAGCTACAGCATGTGTTTTGCGAGGTCAAGGACTTCAGTTGCGTTTATTAATACAACATAAAACTTCTGCTGATTTCACACAAGAGCAGGATTAGTTCTCACAAGACTTTACTCAGGTAAAGCGTATTTATGTATCCCTAAGTAGTCAATTTCTCAGACTCTCAAATCGTTACAAACCAGCCAAAAGATCAATCCAAACTCATTCTCTCATCAGAAAGAGCAAAAGATGAGCAGCTCTGTTTTCTCATGTCTAGGAACACGAGATCTTTATTCCAAAGGTTCATTTCCCTTCACTCCCTGTGCAAACACTTACTTCATCACACATACAAATAATAATTCATATATGACATAAGAAATGATTCTCATGGAAAACAGAAAATGGACAATACCTATTCACAGTGTAACTGCATCAGTGTTAACAGAATTGCACCAGAGAACGTATATGGCATCAGCGCTAAAAGAGTTAACTGCAAGAAACTATTTTAAGGATTAAAGCTCCTGTTCTATGAAAGTATCCTTGATAAAGGTCAGTGGAGAAAGAAATAGGAAAGAATAGAGGAAAAAACTTCAAAAGAAAAAAAAAAACAACACACAACCACCTAAAAATCAGAAAAGAGCTGATTTAAAAAAGAAAGAAAAAAAACCAACCCAAAACCAACCCAACCCAAGAAACATTGCTCTTAAACAAGATGCCTTCTTCAATTTTTTTTTGAGAGAACTCCATTAACCTTAGAAACAGTAAATGAAAACAGTAAAGGTAAAAATGTTTTATTCTGGCAATGGTACAGAGCAAAACCCATAGTTCTACATGACAATTATTCTACTATATTCATAATGACAGTAAAACCAGAGAATACAGAAGAAATTTAAGACAGTATGCTAATAGCTCTGGATTTGCAAGCCTCAAAGTCAAGAGGGACGTGTGATTTAATGAACTACAAATAAATTATTAAAAGTGACAGTTAAACTTCAATCATGTAACATAAGCCAAGGCTGCAATTCTCAAGTTAATTATACTCCCAAGAGACCAGAGTGCCTTCCATAAGACTTTGGACCATAAATCAGGGGAAAACTGGAACGAACAGCAGTAAGGCAGGCAACAGTCCCTATACTCTGGTGGACAGGGCTGGCAGACAGAAAAGTGAGAGGGAATTTGACATGGAGTTCCGATCTCTAGTAATCAACATCTGTCTGTGAAAATTATCTGCTTCTGCAGAGATTGAGGAAAACTTCATGTAATAATGCTGTTGCAATGAGCAGTTAATGTAATTAATTACAGTGTAATTAATGCTTAGCCCATCACACTTCTTTTGGGTTAACGGATATTTTGTCCTAAAAGTTAAACCTTTACTACTGTTTTATTCTTGGGATGTTGGTAATTCCATCAAGCAAGCTAATATTTGAATTAAGGTTGTCTACTCCCAGCAACCGTGTCCTGATGTGAGGATGATTTAAGGAGAAAACCACCTAAAACCGAGACAATATACACGAACGCCAATTCCGTCACACTGTTTTCAGCAGCAGCTTGAGGACCCAATCCTGCTCTTGTTGAAGTCAATGGCAAATGTTCTACTGACTTAAACAGCGGTAGGTTTGGGCACTAAAAGGGAAGGCTGCAGTGGCATCACCATGGAAACCAGCAGCACTAGAAATGAGAACCAGAAGAAAAGAGTGAAGAATTAAAGGAAATGCAGGAAGAGGAAGTATTTTGCTATTACACTTACATTGTACGAAGTCACTTGCTCAACAAGTCTCTTGTCTCTCCCAGATAATACAATTTCTTCATTATCCTTACTGGTTGACTTTTTTGCCTCTTCTCTTTCCTGATGAGTAGAAGCAAATCACACGCTATAGTAATCAGAATGTCTGAAGTAAAAAGCAAGGAAATCTATATTTACTTTAATTAAATCTGAAGGGTAGAGGCCACGATAGAGGCCACCAGATATTTTTCTCAGCTTGATAAAAGAAGAAACTGGACACACTGTAATTGGAAATTCAATGAGCTGATACAAAGTACCTGACTACTGCAGAAGGAAGAGGGAATAAATGAATACCAATGTTACTTAAAATTGTTATTTCCTTGCCTTTACCTTTAAGCCTGAATTAATAAGTTTTAATAACAAAGAAAAATCTGGAAAAAAAAATTGCATTGAACACCTCAGGGTATCTTTACTTTGTTTTCACAGAATATCAACAACATACATACTGCCTGCAGGTGTATGCGAATGAATAAATGCTCACCTTGGCTTTTCTCTCTCTGTCAGCTGGGGTATCTGTCCAAATAGATCTATCGCCTGATTTGTCATCAGCTCTTCTCTTGAATGTTCTTGGGCCAAATCCAAAGCTTTTCAATTCAGGTGGAAGCTCTGTCATCCATGATTCCCTGGTAACTTGCTTGGGTTCATCCTTTACAAAAGAAACAGGGGGCAGGGGGGAAGAGTAAAAAAAAGCATAATCAAAAATCACTGTCTGAATCTCTTAGCTTCCAGCAGAAATCATGGATTTTTCTTTGTCTTAACAATGGCAAACACTTAGCATCCGATGCAGAACTGCAACTGGGTTCACACAGAAATGGGCAAAGAAAAACACAAACACACTCCAGCAACAAAATATTGGAAGTTAAGAAACACAACTTACGCTGTCTGCTGAAGTAAGTTTTTCCTTCATTCTCTGAGCTCTGCGTTCAAATTCTTTAGTCACATCAGACTCCACTGGTCCTTTGGCAGGCATGGGGCCTATGATATTGTCGTCTTCCTCACTACTATCCGTTACCTTCCAAAAATAAAACATTCTGTCAATCATAGTGCTAAGACCATCAAGAAACACTTTAGCTTCATAGGATTAGAATGATTTTGTCTAGAAGAGCATATAAACCTAACACAATGCATCTACCAGTCAGACAACAAAAACCTGGATTAAAACTCCAGATTAGACCTGTTTTAGCACTTTAACGTGGATACTTAGTCTCCGCATTTCCAAAAGCACCATCTCTTGTCTGAGGCAAAACCGCTCGTAAACACGGTGGCAATACACAAAGTCCTGCTACTTTACATTGCTCTGCACGCAGCCATGTAGCCTCTGTGGCCATAGGTAAATTTGAAACACACAAGCATACATCTTTGATGCTCTGGGCTTTACCATCACTAGCAACATTTGGATGCATCTCTAATAAGGATCGTAATTTCACACTGCAAGGAGAACTGTCTCGAGCTCAGATTCTGTAAGGATGCTAGAAAGATTAACAGGCAAGCTAGGGTACAGTGGCACGCATGGTACCACAGCCCTAGATGTACAGTATCTGCCAGTCTAATCTCTTGGTTCTGCCATTCCCTTCTTTGATCCCTTCTGACATGGCATTCTAAGCAATTATTTGGAGAACGGCTCAAAAAACTAAGTTTGAAAGGGACCAGATGTTAATAAGAATCTTTGTGGATGCCAGGGGTTGTACAGAAAGCTCACAGGTTAAAACAGTACAGATGTGGATGGAGGCAGAACTGGACAGAAAATGGCAATGCCACAGTGCCCTGGAAGCAAAGCTAAGGTGCCCAATATTTACAAAAGTACAGAAGATTTAGCTACGGCCTGAATGTGGGTGATAAAGCAATGGGAGTAGGATGACGAGAAGGCTGTGTACTCAGGAAGCACAGAGCATTAGTTGAGAATACAAGGTGGTGGCAAAGAATTTTCAAACGAAGGATGAAGACGGTGCGGGGGGGAACGGCTTGTTTTTGTCATGCAAATCTTTGGTTACCAGGTGGACATCCTAGAACGAAGATATGACACCATCGGAAATGATAAGGGCTCAAGAGCAATGAGCAGTAGAAAAACAGTATCAGGAGCCTTCTATGTAAAATAAGATGCCTGAGGCAGAGGTGACCCAACAGAGAATACAAGAATGGAGTACAAAACCTCAGTAGAAAAATCACCTAATGGGAGCATGGGGAACGGAGGACGAGTGAAAGCAGGAGGAGAGCAGGAAAGGTATCCTGCCACACTGAGTTCAAGCCTAATACTTCAGGCTGCTCATAGCTGGCATCCCACTGCTGTAGAGGGATTTGGGCTAAGACAGCAGGTGTAAAATAAGCCACTCTACTCCTATGTCTGCCCTCTGCTACAGAAACTGGCGCGCTTTAATGACACTGCTCCAAGCTAGCCAAGCCAGTTGGCCCTGTCTGCCTTTAGGAGTCAGCAAAGGTATGAACAGCAGGGACGGCAAGCTTCAGGTAGCAGGAGACACAGCTACGTATGGCTGTGGATCACAAGGTGCAAGAAGAGGCTCAGCAAATTTAATGGCTGTATGACCAGTTGCATGAAACGGATCTGAAAGACTGAGGAAGGTGAGAAATAGCTGGTCATTTATAAACACCATCAACACAAGGTGGCAACACCAATTTCTCTTGTTATTTTTCTCAAAAACATTCACATAGTCAAGCTTTCACTAATTATCTACCACTGTAAAATTGCTTCAACTTTTAGAGAATGGGGTGACTGCATTCTCTCTCTCTCTCTTCTTTTAAAGAAGGAGCTGGTGGGGAAGAGGAATAACCATCTTGAGAAACCAAGGTAGTAAAACACTTCCCTCTCTCTGTGTACAAACGAATAAAATACACAAAGATATAAGATTTTAATAATAAATTGTATTCTAAAGTAGTTGAGGATGAAAGACAAATTCCATGCTGAGTTTTAATTGAAGAAGTGTCTCATTTCCTTTCTCATTAGTCTTAAGTTCAATGCACTCCATTACCACCTGCCTCAAATGAGATGAAATTAAACAAACATTAAAAAGTACTGCTTTCAAGTTTGAAGGGGATATCAATATAAAGTGAAGAGTCAGCATGGAATAAGTTGCTTCTAAAGATGTACTAGAATACAAAATAATTAAATAAATTAAAACAAAATAAACAAAAAAATTACTCATCATATTCAAAGGTAAAAAAAAGATAGAGTGTTATTAGGAAGAGAAAAAAAAATAAAATAAGCTAAGTTCTGTAATAGCTGTAACAAAGCTGATGCTAGGAGATCTATTTAGGAGAAAAGAGACTTTTTTGTTTGTATAATATATAAGCAGACCAGTTTTGACATCCCTGCCTCAAGAGATTTGTCATTATGATAAATTGCTTAATCGTTATTTGGAGTTATAAGACTATGAGTATCTTAAAAATGTCAGACAATCATTCTTCATGAAGGATTATGACAACACTCGCTGAAGGAGGCTGGAGAATGATATACTTCGCAACTACTAATCAGAAAAGTGATGTTCCAGAGCAGCCTTTGCCTCATTCCTTCCTAGCATGTCTAGCATGTCCCATAGTGTCTGGGAGTTAAACTTAAAAATCTAATATTTTAGAAATAAACAGAATGACTGTTAATTCTCACAAGGAAATAATATTTAGTTTATCATAGCATGAGAGAGATTCGATTTCCTAAACAGTGGTATCCAGCACCATTTTTGATGTCTTAGGGTATCCTGCCTGGCTTCAGAGGTGCTGCTCAAGAAGGATGCATACTCCCTATCTGCCAGCCCGCTGCAGACAATCCAGATCCCTCAGAATGGTACTTGAGGACCTTGACTGCATTCTTTTGGATGAACTTATTTAACGCATCCACTAATAAACATTTTTAAGGAGGTGAAGATATGTGAAATATTCAGTCGTTTTGCTCCCCCATCAGCAAAGGAGTCAACGCTTGAATTATAGGTAAATATTTTCATTCTAACAGGTTGCATTACTTCTTTAATGTCTTGAAAAATTTGAACTTTGCCAAGATGTTCACTTGTCAAGGACGTCACACCAAAAGAAAGAATGGAGAACCATTAGGAAGAATTACCGTGACTACAGTTTAGGATGCTTGGATCTCTTGAGTTCAGTGAGTGCATCAGCCGTCTAACAGCAAAATCACAACAAACCAGACCAGCCTTTTTCTTTTTTAAGGCTTATTTATGCTTCAGTATTTGACTCAGGCAAAAATATGCCAGACACTTTCTGGTCTAAAATTAAACTGTCATGCTGAAAGGTATGTCTAGTAGACTTTTTCCGGCTCCTACTTGTTTAAGCATTTCAGATAGCTTGTACTAAAACAAAAGGCTTCTGTTTTCACAAACCTGGGTACAGAATTCTGATGAAACAGACGGTCCTATGGAACATCTGCTACTCCCAGTGTCCTGTGAAGGTCTCCTAAAGCCAGGCGGTAATGCAGGACCTATAATGGGCCTTGAGGGGAAAAAAGCAAAGAAAATCTTTGTTTTCAGTTGGGGGGGGGGGAAGGAAGTAACGTAACCAACACGGAGAGTACATTAAGTGACAGCCTTCCACTGTTTGGTGCAGGAAAAAAAATAGATTAAGACAAAAATAAAAATCAAATGTTGATGAGAAGTGTGATTCTCCTTCCTCCCAATGCCAAGTGTGCCCCCTATGTGCACACCATAGAAATAACTGAGTAAGAAGAGCTGCTCCATTTGCCAGGTGGATCTCTGCAGATAGCTGCAAGGCAAGAAAACCGGGAAAGTTGCAGCACATAGTCAAGGAAATCCACTTTTTTCTTCCCTAGCTTCCTTCATCAGATTCAAGAACAGTGAAAGGAGGGGGGTCAAGTATATGCTACTCTTTCTCTAGCAACAAAGCCAATTTTGTTCATTCTTGCCTTGCAGCACCGTTTAACTGTCCTTCAATAAACAGAATCAGTAAACTGCTCTGATTTTAAGTTTATTTTCCCTTGGAGTGGGGATGAGAGAAGAAAAGTTTTGTGATCCCAGGTAACTTCACTGATTGTTTTTACACAGCAGCTCTGCAAGCAGTATAATTCAATTGCCTCCAGGAACACAGAAAGGTGAGAATCTCTTTTCAATGGTGAAAACAGTTCAAAGTGTACTACAAACTGTGCTTGCAGTATTGAAAAGACTTTTGTTTATGAGTTCCTCTTAATAATCCACCATCATATTCTTTAAAGCTAATAAAAGCTAATTAAAAACCCAAACAATTATCACCTGAAGAAATATCCAAGTGACAGTATCCTCACAATGTATCAGCAGAGACTTTGTTTATTATGATCTTCAGTTTCTGAGCTTTAGGGCTATCAAACGTAACACAACATGAATTGAATTATGCTAATTATGGTCTTCTACTGAATCCCACATAATCTAATCAGTACAGCCCTGCTGTAGTGATATTATTGTCAGGATTTGAAGAGGGGAAATAAAAAGCAGAAAGTCCTGCCAGAAAGCCAACCACAGACAGACAGACACAAGCAATAAATGTGAGCTCAGGCCAGGACAAGGGCACTGGTGAGGTTTCAAACCCAGTAAGAGGTCTGGGTTAAATTTGAAGTTCCACCCCCACCTAGCTGCAGCAAAAAAGAAACAGCTTTTATCTTCCTCTGTTCCTTTCTGACTGCTTTCTTGTTAAGACCATATTTTAAATTCCCAATATAATTTAAAGAGATTGAATTTAAACCTATAGAGATATGGCCAAAATAATCTTTTATTTTAGTATACAAGTACCTTTATTTTGCATGGAGAGACAGTTAAACCAAACTATAAAAAAAGCTTTCTACTAAAATATATAAGAACATCTATGTTGTGGGCTGTATCTGCGCAACTTGTGAAAAAGAGCAGATCTCAAATACTCTGCCTTGCTTCTGTCACAGCTCAAAGGCTCTTCCAAGGAACAGAAAAATGGTTCCCATATCCATCCCTCCCACGCTTTCCATTTCTATGCTTTTTTTTTCCCCCCACATGAATAACCCTGTTACTCAGGTCTTTCCTCAGCAGCACACAGCCAATGTGGTTCTTCACAGTTTCCTGGAATGTCCAAAGGCTCTCTGAACAGGTGAAGTGAATCTAAATAAAACTCTGTTAAATACTTTTTGCTGCTGCTGGCAACTTTGGTACCTACCTATACACGTTCAAAAATACACCCCAAACTTACCATGAATTAAGATTTCATTTAAGGAATATTAGACTTCATATATGGCAAAGAACACTTTCCTGTTGTCGGACTTGGAGTCCATGTTTCAAGATGGGCATTTCAGCATTCTTCTGAAGTACAACATCCATTTTTTTAAGATAACCTTCGCTCTTTACCTTGATGCGTGAATACTTCAGAAATACTTATGAGTGCTGCACTTCTGTCTAACATTGATAAACAGCAATATCCTTTCCAAAGCTGAAGGAAATCTGTTCATATACATATATTTTATACTGGGATGATTCAAACAATTTTTAACAAGCTGCAAATTGCCACATGAGCTGCTCCTAATCATGAGTACGTTGCTTTGACAAGTCTGGAAAAGATGTAACAGAACAAAAGCTTTCCGAAAAGAACGTGTATGTCACACGGTGCTAATAAACAGTATGTCCATACATTGAAACAAACAGCCTGCATTTGTTTCAGTTATTCATGGCAAGATCGTCAGCTGGCAATCTGCTCAACGCTAGGGGCAATGCAGCGGGTAGACAGTTAACAGCATTGTGTCTACACCCTGCACAGCTTACGCGCCTCAATGTGTCAGCACGACCAGACTGCCAGGTGTACGGGGGTGGAAGATAGACAAGGCTCTTCCCGCACATCGCACCTTTCCCACCTATTCAGGGAATCAGGCTGGGTGCAAAACAGCTCTGCTCAATCTGCTTTCTCAGTGTGTGCTAGGAGCAGTTGTATGGTGAACTAGGAAAAAAAAACCAAAAAAACCCCAAAACCAACAAACCTAGCAAGTGCCTTTTACTGCTTTAATCTCTCATACTCACAGACACAGAGCAGACTCTTGCCCTCTGAATGTAAATGCAAGCTATCCAGCATTTTGGAAATAAATTGCTAAGTAGAAATAAAAGCTGGGTGAACATACAAACGACTAAGATTATATGATGGCTGACCACCTGTGTTACTGCTCTTCTCTCTAACCTTCAAACTACAAGTTGCCTCTTTTCTTCCTCTTTTCCTTTGCACACCTTGACGTAACATTTTAGCACAGGAGTATTCATGTCAAAAATCAAGAAAGCAAGAAGGCTACCTCTGCTGATATTAAAAGCTACAAGCATTTATTTGCTTTACTACAGACCACATTATTTTTAGGGACTTCATAACTTTTATAATTAAAATAACACATGGTGCTTAAGAAATGCAAGAAGAAGAAAAAATATTAGTTACTCTTGGGACCATCAAAACACCAAACAAGCCGATTGAGCATGATACCCCCAATTACAAAAGAGTTTGTCCATTACAGCAAAGTGTAAGCAAACAAAGAGGATACTTCCAAATAACCTATATTCTTGTTTTCCTAACTGCTGCCAAGTATCATAAAAATTTAACCAAATTAAAAAAAAATTTCAACTTTGGAATTTCCTTTGAGATGGTATACTACATACACAGCTCGACAACAAATTGAGTCACTTCCCTAAAACTGAAAACTCATACCTGACAGGTAGGTATTGATTGATTTATTTTATCTACCAGCTCCTTGTTGCTCTGACGAAGATAATAGTGATCAAGGGACTCTCTTGTACCTTTCATCAATAAGCGACCTCTTGGAAGTACCCTTCTCACTATGGATTACCATTTACGATTATAGAAGGAAGTGCACAGATTGATGTAAAGACTAGAAGGCTGTGAGACAAGGTTAAGTTCTGCATAGAAAATCCATAAATAGTTTTTTTTGGGGAAGTATTTTATAATTGTGTGCAATCAAATGGAAAGCTTCCTGATGGAGGCTATAAATAATGTTTATTTACTTCGACCTGACAGCTTGCTTTCTAGAAACCTACACTGTTCAGATTAGTTTTCTACCTGGAGACACATAAAAAGTAATCCTTGGGGCATTAGCAAACAACAATTCCAATAATCTGCATTGTATTGCACCACACAAAAGCTAACTGCCCGACTCCCTCACAGCCCAGAATGAACTACAGAACTATAGGTCCTTGTACCTGTCATTTGTTTTTTCTGCACTGATCTGAGACCTATTATAAGAAATGGAAGAAGTTGGACATTCAAAATATAACTCAGACAATTCACATTTTTTTCTTTTTCTCTCCAACCTTCCAACCAGGACTAGGAGGGCTGTCTGTTCTGTTTCAAGGGAATGCTGTTCCTGTTCTCAGAATGTGGAGGAAGCAATTCTAATCATCTGAATCTGAAGTGCACAACTGAAGTGTTCTGTAACAGTGCCACAAAATATTTTATCTAAAATAATTGTGTTTTAAGGAAAAGAGTCTGAATATAATCCCTTTTTAACTACCTCTCTGGAGAATCATCCTGTTTTTTAAATCCAGGAGGAAGAGCAGGCCCAAAAAAGCCATCATCATCATCATCGTCTTCCCCAATCCTTTTTGGCTTTCTGCAAATACAAAGACTTCACTTAATAATTACCTTGACATGCACAGAAATTATCTACATTTTAAAAAGGAAAAAAAATACATAAAATCATTTCAGACAGTCTTATGTACTAAATATCCTGCTGTTACCAAGGAAACAGTGCAAAAGGATCCAAAATAATTTGAAGCAATTAAAAAATTGGGAGCATAAGCTTCAGCCGAAAAACGCTCTGACATTTAAAAAAACATGAAGAATGTTTTTGCTGTAGAAAGAAGAGTAGCATAAAGTTGAAATACCATTTTCTAGTCACAAAGTAATCTTGAATTCAGCACACTTCTTTCTCCATTTTTATACACTGCCTGCATTTTGACTAGTACTTTTCCCACTTCAATTCTAATGAACTGAAAAACTGTTGAATAAGACAACAAGAAAAAAGTGAGCAATAATTAACACTCATTAAGATGGTATAATGCCCTTCAAGTCCCTTACACAAGGCCTAGCACAAGTTCTTAACACAGCAATTGTGAGTAATCAACCCCATTAAATGAGAGAGTGTGCAGACTCCTGTTATTTGCTAAACAATTCGTGTTTTGTTGTTTGTTTGTTTGTTTTTTTTTTCATTCGAGTTGACTTAATTGAACGCATAAATTCATGCCCATAATGATGCCAAAAACCATGGCCAGGTTCTTGTGACCTCTCAATGAGAGGTAGTATACCAGAAACAGGGCAAAACTCAAGTAACAAATACCTACATACATGATAATTGGTGTCTGTCCTTAGTATAAACAAGCAAAACATTAAGGATTGTATTATTTTAATGGCAGAATTAAAATAAAACATGTAAATACAGAGATCTGATGGCCCTAAATAACTTAATTTCACCGCAGGGTGTCAAACAGGTCAGCTGAACATTCTTCACCACAAAGAACATGCAGAACATGTCATCAAGTTTTACACAGGCACAGGGTTTACCTTTTCATTTATATAATCCTGTCCCTGTCTCATAATTTATGCAGACACATTTCATTTGCAATAAAATGTAAATATGCAAATAACCTAAGAACATACTCACTTGGGTGCTGGATCTCCTTCTGTCTCCTCTTCAGAATCTCTGTTTGCACCTCTGGGTAGAGGAAGAGATTCTGAGTCATCATCACTGTCAGGAGTTTCCGAGCTACAGCAGCTTTTATAGCCTGGAGGCAGTGCTGGTCCTGCAACTGAACATCCAGCATTATTTGGGATACTGACTAAACATTTCAAATAAGTATGATTCATCTTGGTATTCCCAAAACACATACCTACCTGGAATTAAGTTTATTCAATCATTGCTCTGTCTACAATTTAGAGAAGGTATCTAAACAAACTTCTAGAAGTTACTTTTTTCAGCACCATATTTCAATGAACAACACCCCCCTCCCAAACTAAATTAGTACGTTATTAATCCATTACTATATGAGTGTCTTCTGGAACAGGATTAGAAAGCCCTGTTCCATCTAACAACTGATTTGCAATGCATATGCTATAAACTGGTATATTTAAAAGAAACTACCACCTTAATAAACCATTTGAAGCTTACTAGTGAAGAATCACATCATTTGTACATACACAGAATGGGAGATCATAGATTAGCGGAATGTAATTGCCAGCCAGCTTTAGGAATGGTTTAAAGATTAAGGTTATTCCTAGTTCAGCTAAGTGTGAACAGCAGGCCCAGACTTAAGCACTCTGCTGAAAAAGGGATGCTGTAGGCACTCAGACTTCAAAGAATCATTGCTGTCAGAAGGCTGGGGCAGCGGATGGAGCTCTCATGCTCCAGTCCCTTCACCCTCTGGAGTAACGAAGAGGGCGGGATATCCCAGCAAAGGAAAAATTCAGACACTAACGCTGCTAACAGGCCTGAGCTGTTTCTGGCACCATCCCCACCAGCAGGCACTGTTCTTTATAGACTTATTTGGACATAGTACACTGGGTCCAGAAGTAGCTTAGCCACTGATCCTAACAGCAAATGCCCCCCAAAAGAGGCACAATACAGATACCCTCACAGGCTCAATCATCACAGAACCAGCTGCAGTAAGCAAAGACCAGCAATGGTCCCAAGATAAGAGCCCTTCCCAGATCCAGGGCAGCACATGCAGGACCAGCACCAGTTTACACACACAGCACAAAGAGCCCTCCGATATAATGGAGATTTGATCCTACTGATGATTTAGCATCCTGAAACACAGACACCATTCCTCCTTTTAATACTTCAAGCATTGAGTCCAAGACTGACAGGACAGCAAGACGTTTTAGTGGGGAAAATACACTGTTAGCTTTATGAATAGTTAAGGGTTAGATGAAAAGATGAGGTGCTATAAAACCACATAAATGAAGGGTACCAGGAAATTACTTCTCCAGCTAAAGAACTACGACTTTTTGATCGTGCAAAATAAAACCTGATACAGATTATGGTTCTATTGTTAGCTGACAAAAGCTAGGCAGAAATTGAGTCCTTCAAGTCAGCTCCATAAAGCTTTTACTTGTCTTCAGCACAAGACACAGAACAAGGACAGTCTACTAGTTACAAAGCATCCGGACAGATCTGCCACTTGTTTTGTTTTCTGTTTTAATGGGAAAGACTTTAACCAGGACATACAAATCCATTTCAGCCCTAAGAAGAAAAAACCCACAACACCCCAGCCTATAAAGGTAAAGTGCCTATAAAGGTAAAGTAAGTTTAAGATGAGAGGGAACCAACAGATGAATGATAAACAGGAATAAAGACTGCTATTGAGAAGTCTCCCATTTTGGTATAAGAAACACCGCTGGATAAAAAGCACTTTAAAAGCAGACAAAACCCGCACAACAGTTTTCTCCAGCCACCTGGTGCCCTGATATCATGAAAGCAGAGCTTCATTTGCTCTTAATGCAGACAGGTAAGAGAAAGGACTTGGAGTGAAAGGAGCAAACTGAGATGCAGTTTGATGAGTCCGATACTGCAGAGAGAAATTGGGATCAGCTTTGTGAGCTGGAAAGAACCAGTAAAACCAAAACTCTGTAAAGGAGGAGACTGGTCCCACTGACAGGTTGGTGAACATCAGGGCTAACATACATGCTTTCTATCCCAATTCCTCTCCGTTATGCCAGCACAACTGTTTGCGTGGGCTATGCAATAAACTGGATCAGGGAACTTAACAGGCCTAAAAATAACACTGCAAAACTCAGCACTCCCCTGAAAAGAACTGTGTGTTCGTGGAACCGCAGCCTAAGCAGGACAACCAGAAACAAAACAGAGACAGAGACTGGTTCATGAAGGGAAAATGGCATTTAAAGCCTCGGGAATAAAAAGTCATTGGACATGGTAAAAGAAGTGGGGGAGAAAGAGACTTGGGAGCATGAGGATTAAAAGTTAATATGGTCACAGTACTGACTGAGACTAATAATCAGCACAGGCGAGGATACAGCTATGGATCGGGGTGGGAAGCCACGAGAAAGAGTAGAGAGGAAGGAATGGGAATTGCTAAGCATAGATTCTGGGAGCAAAGAAAGGAAAGGGTAGAGAGGGAGCCCAAGATCTAATGAGAAGTCTGTGAACAAAATTCCCTGAAAGCCATGGAAATGTGGAAAGATACAGATCAAGGGAGGAACACAGGAGAGCTCAAGAGTGTCAGGAAACTAAAACCAATGACGTGAGGAAGAGAAATGGATGTAGCAACGGTAAGGCAACAGCAAAGCGAGGAAGTAACCAGAACTCAGAACTACTCAGAGCAGGACAGGAGGATATGAAAGTGTGAGAAGAAAATTTTGGGGATGGAGAGAAGAGAAACAGAGCCAAGGATACGTCTCAGGTCAGACAAAAGCACGTGTTTCACAGCTGCTAGAAGTGGCCATCCTGCTATTGTTGCTCTGACTTGCCCTCTCCATGGAACTGGCTCTGGTGCCTATCTGCCTGAAAATTAAGTCAATTCAATTCAGAAACCAAATGAAAAACTACTTTTTGTTTTGGTTTTCCTGGGTTAATTTCTGCTGCATTTGGCGATTCTAAGCAATCTACCATGCCATCAGACAGGCACTGGGAACCTCTCAAGGACAGACAGGAGTAGGGCCTTTCACCTTCAGCAACAGTGACAGATCCACTCAGACATACCACGTTAACACATCTGTGCTTTGTTAAATGTGGCCTCAATGCTGAAATAGAGGGAAAAAAAAACAACAAAAAAAACCCCTTCTGCATCTCTGGTTATTTTTAGCCATTCCCTAGCATTTCTCTCCTACTGGTACAGGGACAGCACAGAGGCAGGGACGGACGGGCCAAAGGAAGTATGATTCTTCCAGCAGGAGCACATTCAGGCCAGCTTCAAAGAATCATCATGAGATGAAGAATGGGGAGATGAGTATGTCCCATGGGCTGGACAGTGACAAGCTGAAGAAGGAAAGGTAAAGGATTTTTACCAGGGATGAGCTTTTGAGCCTGTCCAACTACCATTTGCTCCCACTCTGGTTCTGATTAAGGGTCGCAGGGTTTGAGTAGCGTCAGTTCTCTGATGTCAATGGACATTGGTATCTCCTGGCAAAGTCCATTTTGGCTTCCCCTGTGCTGACTTAACAGGCAGAGCAGCAACTGGCACTTTACCTTAGTTACTCCCTTATCTTCTGAGGCAGGGATGCACAAGGAAACGAACAACAAAGCTTTTAACTTTGCCCACGTTTCACAATGCGAAACACCATGTTAACATCAATGTGATTACACAACCTACAATTACTACATCTTCAGTTTTTCTTAATTAAAAAAAAAAAAAGGCAAGAATTTGCATGCTAAAAGTTACAGCTATTAACAGAGCTGTTATGTCAGGGGTTGGAACTAGATGATCTTTAAAGGTCCCTTCCAACCCAAACCATTCTGTGATTCTATGTTAACCATATAAAGGTGAAAGAAATGCAAATTTAAGAATGGATCAGCAGACATTTATTTTGTTCACTACATCTAGTATGGCAATGTCATATCGCTGATGGAAGACAAATGCTTACCTAGCAGCCTAGAGGGCCAACTGTGTCCTGGGGTGCATCAAACCCAGTATAAACAGCCAGTCAAAAGCAGCGATTATCCCACTGTATTCAGCATTGGTGCAGCCTCACCTTGAATACTGTATGCAGTTCTGGGCCCCACAATTTAAGAAGGATGCGAAGATCCTTGAATGCGTCCAGAGGAGGGCAACAAAGCTGGTGAAAGGGCTGGAAAGAATGTCCTATGAGGAGCGGCTAAGGACTTCGGGCTTATCTGGCTTGGAGAAAAGGAGGCTGAGGGGCGATCTCATTGCCCTCTACAGCTGCCTGAGGAGGGGAAGCGGAGAGGGAGGTGCTGAGCTCTTCTCCCTGGTATCCAGTAAAAGGATGCATGGGAATGGCTCAAAGCTGCGCCAGGGGAGGTTTAGACTGGACATTAGGAAACATTTCTTTACCGAGAGGGCGGTCACACACTGGAACAGGCTCCCTAGAGAGGGGGTCGATGCCCCAAGCCTGTCAGTGTTTAAGAGGCATTTGGACAACGCCCTTAACAACATGTGTTAACTTTTGGTCAACCTTGAACTGCTCAGGCAGTTGGACTAGATGACTGTCCCTTCCAACTGTCTATTCTATTGTCTTATATTATAGTTCTGAATGAAAACTTTTTGACAGAATTCTCAGAACGGCTGCTTAAAGTCCTACTTTGTTGCTGTTGGGAGGCGGAAACTATGAAAGTAGAATAAAAAAACCGAAGTGTTCTTAAAGAAAAGCAAAGAGCAGCTCAAATGTCAGCGAGACCACAAGGAAAGAAAACATATCAGAAAAGCTGTTCAGCTTTAAAAGGCAAAGTACCTCTTCAAATAGCTAGAACACACAAGGAAATAGTTACAGAACAACTTCTAGGCCCATTCTGTCTCAAGACCCAGCAAGCTTTACAGCGCAGAAGATGCTTGTGGCAGCCCCACCACACCATTTTGCCACTCAGAACCTCCAGGTGCAGGGCTCCAGCTGGAGCTGTACTTCTGCACAACAAAGCATGTCATGCCAAAGTTCGTGCTCTCTCTTCCACCTCTGCACTGCAGCAGTATGCCTCGGGTTGAGCAGGTACACTTAGTTGTTTTAAGTCAGGAAAAGTTTATAAAAGTTATAAAAACAAATAAACAACCCCCCCAATAGTTGTTTTTTGGTGGGTTTTGGGTTTTTTTTTTTAAAAGCAAATAAATGCCTTCATCCATTTCACACAGAAATCCCCAAGCATATCTGCCAGTGTAACTGTACTAATATGGAGTTGA